GTCTTACTCAACAACATTCACAAGGAAGTTTTTTGAAGTTGAAGCAATCACTTTGAAGTAAATCATCCTTTCAAATTTGGATTGAAAAGAAGAGGGGAATAGCTTTTAGGCTTTTCTTTCCTTAATGTGACTATTTCCACAGATGGCTCCCTATGAAAATTAATGAACTGACTTAGCCTTACAGGAAGTGCCATTTAGAAGGACAAGAATTAGAGAACAGATCCTGTGATCAAAATAACAGAACTATTATTTATATACCTTAGCAACTGCAAAATTTATGTTTTCACATAATTTTTAAAGTAACATTAAGCAAAATGATTATTTTCTAAATCATGAGAGAAGACAACCAAAATAAAGGAACTTGGATTTCTATTTAATATTTAACATTATTAAGCATAAAAAGATCCTAGAGACCCACTGGAAATATATTAAAAACTGAAACAAAAACACTATTCTTAAAAGTTTTATTTGGTGCTTACCTGCTCCACATATAAGGAAATACCAAGTTGGCATTTATCAAAGCTCCTATTTATTTAAGAATACACTAACAGCATGGGTTCCTTAAAAATTTCCAAAGTAAGAAAACAAAACATCTACCTTATATTTAAAAATCAAGTAATTTAAAACAATGAATAGATAAAAATCTGTAAGTTTATCATAATATTTGAAGGGTCGATAGACATGACAGTCATTTGATATTTCTGGAAGGGTAATATCACTCCATGCATATTGCGAATATCAATACAATATTCAATACCAATTAATTACATTGAAAATTGGCAATTAAAACATTAAGCCTTCTCAGGAGGGCCTGTAGTTCATTCTTAGTTGATGAGAAAATGTTCCTCTCAAAAAGAATAAATACAAAAGAATACCAGCTAATAAATGTACAAGGAAGGAAAGCATGAGAAAAACATGCAATCTCCAAGGTAATAACTAATTCAGGCAATGGCAACCATAAAGTATTACCTCTTGGACTACCTGCAATAGTAAAGAGGAAAGCTTACCTATTATACTGGAGAGAGCTAATGGTCACTACTTTAACCGAGTCATTAAACTAAGTATTGACAATAGTAAGACAACTTGACATCATGTGCCTCTGAACAGGACGATCTACTATTTGTTATTATCCATGAAATATTCTTGTAAAAAAAATGTTTAAAAGGAACCTAATCAAGTCTCTACACATAATTTATAGTTTAAAAAAACAAAGGATTCACAATACTTATATATTCCTAGATTGAAAGCAAAGGCTAAAATAACATTTTGGGGACAATAGTATTGAGTATGAATTGGATATTAGATGATATACATATATATTTTTTCAAATGGGTCAGAAAAAAATATAGTTAAGTAAGGAGCCTTTATAAGCTTTCAGCTATAAGATAAACAAAGTCTAAGGATCTAATGTAAAATATGGTGACTATTTGTTGATAACACTATTGTATAATTGAAATTTGCTAGAAGAGTAAAACTTAAATGTTCTCACAAAAAAAGATTAGAAACTAATCCAATGACTGTAGCAATAATATAACTGTATATTTGTTAAAATTATCAAAATGTACACTTAAAATTGGTGAATTTTATTTTATGTAAACTATTCCACTATAAACCTGATTAAAAATTAAATAAAATATAAAGCAGTTAGCACCCCCTTATCAAAAAAAAAAAAAAGAAAAAAGAGATAAAGCAAATATGACAAACTATTAACTGCTGAATTTAGATGGTATACAACTGATTACTATAGTATTTTTCAACTTTCCTGTAAATTTGAACTTTATAAGTGGAGAAAAAGATAAGTAAAAATTAATTAACAGGAGATAAAACGGTCATGTTTTCAGAAGTTAACAAATAAATTTCTTGACCAAGATGATATCTGACATATTTAAATAAGGAGACAAGTAGCATTTACTGTTAAGAATGAAGTTTCCAGGTGAGTGGAAGAATTTAAAGGAAACCTGAGGTAGAAGAACTGCAAAGAGAAAAGTTTCTACAGAGAAGGGCAGTAATCAGGAGAAAATTAAGATAGCAATATTGCAAAGCTAAAGAATGGAAGACTTTCCCATCAGTTTAATCTTTGAGATTAACAACTAATCTTCCCAATCTTAATTCTCACTTCATAATTTAATCTTAAATTCTCTTTTGTACTTTAGACAAAAGTCACGAACAATGGAAGAGATATCTGTCATCACTCCTCAGGGTCAAATACAACCCATGTTGTTCCCAAGTTTAAGGCTGAATCTATACAGATTACTGGATTCATCGTTTTCCTGTGAATCTGTAATGGTCAACTGTGGATCCACCACTAGGATTTCTAAGCATGCTGATTTCAGTCATCTTAACAATGGAGTTTATTAACTACAGAATCCTATTAGTTGTCAGGTCATCAGCCTTTTATTACCACAAGGAAAAATGAGTGAATTGAACAAAGGTCAATTCAGTCAGGCCATGTAAACACTGTTAACCACTTTTCAGAAATTAGACTTTTGTCATCAGACAAGAAAATACAGATGCACTTCCTATTATAACAGAGGAGTTCCCCTTATAACTGTCCTCTAAAATTTAATTGGTAAAGATTCAACACATACCTAACCATTGCCTATTGGTAGATTGTGGTTTCAGGCTCAGAACCTCATTTCAGAACTACTTTATACTTTCAAAATTGATTCAGAGTGGGCATGGAGATAGGAAATAGTCTAATTTTGCTTTCCAAATCTACTAGCAGTAATGCTATGAGGAAATAGAAAACCAGTTCACAAATTTTATCTACTTTTTTCCTACCCATTAAGAAGAGTGAGCGATATAATTTTCCTTACTAGCTAGACAAGTTCCAACTCGTTTCTGAGTCTATTTCTTCATTTGTAAAACAGAAATAATATAGCTATGAAACAGGGCTGATTACCTGCTCTGCCTACTTTAGATAGCTGAGATAAAGCAAAATGAATACCTTGAAGACTGCTTTCAATTAAAACAAATGACTTTAAATATATCATTTGTTTAGATTACATTTTATTTGGTTTATCATATTCCATTGTAAAACATGTAAGAAAAAATAGGTAGGATTCCATTTTTACTACCTAGCCACTCAGTAAAAAACAGACTAGACAAAAGCATCTGTGTAGAACTCTTGCCAAAAATATTTAACCTGAATCTAGTGAAATAATTAGTCAAACACAGATTTAGAGACTGCTCTAGACTTTTCAAAAATGTCAATGTAATGGAAGATCCTCCTACCCCCACCCCCCAACCCCCAAAAAAGGCAGCAAGTGAAGGGTATAATTTAGATAAAAAGGAAACGAACAAAAGACATGGTGACCAGATGCAATTTGTCATCCTTGATGGGGTCTTGGGTCAAACAATAAATAAAAATTAGAAAGAACACTCTGGGGACAACTGGGGCAATTTGCTCTATTAGATAATATTATTTTATCAACAAAAATTTCTTGAGTGTGCTAATAATATAGTTATGAAGGAAATGTCATTGTTTTTAGGAGAAACAATTATAAAATATTCTAGAGAAGAAATGTTATGCTTTTTCTACTTACATTAAATGATTCAGAAAAAAATTTTAAGCTATCTATAGAGAGAATGCAAATATGGCAAAATGTTAACAAGAGCTAAAGAATCCAAGTGAAGGGTACACAGGCGTTCATTATCCTTTCAACTTCTCTGTACATTTGAAATTTTCAAAAGACTAGGGTAAAGTGAACTCTGCATAAACAAAACAAAATAATAAGTTGGCAAATAATAAAAAAAATCAACTTTCCAATAATAAAATTATACTTTCATAAATCTAACTTTCTAAACTAAAATAAATTCACTATGTTGCAGTATTATTGGGATATATTATTTAAGAGCAACACTAATACACAAAACCAGATAAATTAAGTGGACTTAATTATATAATAAAAGGTGTCCCTGAAGGATTTCCTTTAAGTAAAAAGCAGTGTAATTTCTAAAAGCAGGATAGAAACAGACCAAATGTCATTATTGGAAAAGATCACAGAAATTAACTCAAGTCCTTATAGATTAAGAAACTAGTATCTACATGTTTTTCAGAATATACCACTTTACATTTTTCTTCAAAAGAAAATTTAAAGACAAGTAAAATATGCAGAGTTAACAGATGTGATGGCTCATATTTTATCATATACTTCAATTCAACCACACCAAAAGCAAGCAAATTAAAACTAGGAACAATTAAGTGTAGTCCACAGGCAGAAAACATATTCTGCTCTATAAATGCATCAAAGTAGTCTATGATAGGAATGCTATAAAAAGCGGAGGGCGGGCGAAACCTCTAATAAACACTAGTCTTGTATGACAGATGAAGATAAATTTAAGAACCTGGAATAAAAGAAAGTAAGTGCAGCTTATTGTGAAAAGTTTTCCTATAGATCTGTGGGTGAAAAATTTGTAACTGAATTTTAATAATCTTCTATCAAACCTGTGTGTGTGTGTGTGTGTGTGTATTTGATAGATTCTCTAGGTGGTATAGTACTACTTTTTAAATACAGTGTAAGCACTCAAGTATTCTAAATGGACTGTCAGGCTTTTCTGTGCTGACAGCAGGTTGGACAAGTGCCCATCAATCCCATAAGAAATCAGAAAGTATACTCAGGAATGTCTTTTTATGGGTTTGTTTGGGTATTAACTAAAAAGAATATCACTGTATTAAGAGCTAAGAATTTATGTTTATATAATCTCTTAAACAAATTCATGAAAAATTTACATATCCTATTAGCACAGAGTTACACCCTCTGCTTTAAAACCTATTTACTGGTATAGATTTTCAATTACTATGTTTTCTTAGGAAATATACAGTATTTCCTTTACTAGATAAAGTTCTATAATGGAAAAAAAAATAAGATTAATTATCTTTATGAATTAACCTATTTTTAGCAATACTTCCTTTTTCTTTATGATAATGTAAACTATATAGAAAAGAACAAACTTTTTAAAATGTTATATCTTTATTTTCAAAATAGCATCTTATTTACCTTGTTAATGGATACTACCAAAGCCGGTTCCACTTTAGCTTCAATTTCTTCTGGAGTATAAAAACAATAGAGTTTACCTCCTCTCAAAACACAATACAACCTTCTCCAACTAATGAGACCGTCCACCATTTGCTAGAAAAAAAAAAAAAATCAAGAAAATATCAAAGTTAAATCATTATTTATCATCTTAACTCTAAAATTCAACAAAAATACTTAAATTATCAAAGTTAAATTATCATATTTAAAAATTTTGAAATTTTTAAATATGATAGTTACCAATTAATTTATTATCTAATAAGTCAATAGCCTCAAATCAAAGAGTAAGTTAATTTAGAAAAGAAAGGTTTGGAATTCTCAAAAGCATTAAATAAGCAAAATGGAGGTAACGATTACCACATAACTTTATATACATAAAATCATAAATCGATGCAGTTTTAGAGAAGTTAGTCTTTTAAAAATGAGTGCTTAGAACTCCACAACAATTCACCTAACAACACAGGAAAATTATAACAATAACTCAATATTCAAAATATAATTTTCTCTTATTGTTCTTAGAACACTGGAAAATGTTGACTACCCTATAAGAATGCAAATTTTCTTTCCTCTTAATGGAATCCTTTAGTAAAAGCTATTGATTCATTGGAGTCCATAATTAATTATTTACTGAATATAAATAACTATGGTTATAAATAAATCAGGAGTAGGAGGCAGAGAGACAGCTTTGGAAGCCCAGACCTAAACTGTGCCAAAAGCGGTCTGCCAGGAAGGCCTTCATGTGAAAGGTGTTGAGAAGGCCTCATCAGTTTCCACAAGGAGTCCTCTGTTGCTGATTACAGTGTTACAGCTATTAATAAAGCAGAGGAACCTGGAGAGGTAGCTCCCCTGCCATGCAAACTGCATTAGACCCCTCCCCTTCCCACCGTCTCAGGGGAGGTCGCCCCCTAACCACCCCTGCCCTACCCCAGTCTATGTCTAACAGTGAGAAAACTGGTATTTAAAACAATTTTAAAAAATACTTCTCAATATCAGAAGGATTAAGAGCTAAATTGGAGCTATAATTATTGTAGGATATTTAAAGTCTTCTAACCTGCTGATTAAGGAATCCTGCAAACGCATTCTCAGACATACAGGCTGGCTGGACAACAAAACGGCAGCACATGTTACCAAATAAAGGGAGCCAGAACGGAGACGCCTCTGTTTAAACGAGAGAAAAAAAATCGAGTTAAAAATATATGTTTATTTAAGGTTATTATACATTTTGATTTTTTTCTTTTTACAATTTTTTTTTACTTTATATAAGAACATATGTAAAGGTTCATCCTACTCAAATACCAGTGCCATATTTAAAATCAAATCAGAGATGACATTAAACATAGTTTACAGTATGCTATCACCTGGAATAGACATGGAACTTTTAGTCTCTTGTACTTGTTTGATCTTAAAGTAATTAACAGAGGTAATTCAAGGCACAGAAGCAAACTCATTTAATAGAAAAAAAAAAAAAATCTAATAAAGTGACTTTTTTGGTCTATGTCAAATTCTACTTTTGCTTTCATTATAATAATTAGCAAAATGATCCTCTGAATAAAACATTTCAGAGCGCAACTTTAAGATAAAAATTTAATAAACCTTTTTTGCCTTTCCTCTTAATTCAGTTGGAAGCTATTAGGTGGACCCCACCAAGATGGGTATCTGTGCTGGGGTGGGGGTAGACTGTGGTATGTCATGGCTGGGTGCTAGAGGATGAGGGTAAGCAAGATGGTTGCCCAGCAGGAAGTATCAGAGCCTGAACAGGCTGAGAGGGACGGACCACATGGGGCACAGCCTAGAGCCCAAAGGAGATCTCTGCTCCGGGGATGGCCTGGCACAGGGAGTCAGGGCCCAAGCTGAGTGAGAGGGTCTATGTGGGGTAGCTGCCCAATGTGAGGTGTCTTAACCCAAGCAGAGTAAGGAGAGTGTACACATTTGTGGTATGGCCCAGCTATGGGGAGTCAAGAGTTTGAGAGCAGTGAGAAAGCCATCCACACATTCAATGACCCAGAACAATGTGTCAGAGCCCAGAAAAGCCCAGTCAGCAGAAGGGCAGCTGGGGATGGCATGTCCACACAAGATGAAAGTAAGGCCTAGGAAGTTAAAGCTTGAGTAGGGGGAGGAGAATCTACATGGGGCAAGGGCTCCCCCAAAATAGAGAGTCAGAGCCCCCAGAAAGAAGAAGAAAGCATCCATGTGGGAGAGATGAGAGGATGTTGCTTTCAGGGAGAATGACCAAAGAAGAAAAAAATTAAATAGAAGACAGGTTTCTCACAGTCAGAGAAAGGAATTAAAAATATATAGAATGAACTGTGGTGCTGGATTAGAACTAGATGCACTGGTATAAACTCATGGTTTTCATATACAGAGATTAAGAACTATATGACAAAATATACATGCATGTAAGTAGCTCAGTCCACTGAGGGGGCCTAGGAAAAGCAGCACCCTAATAGCAATGAATATACCTACAGCCCAGATCATGTCTACTAAATATTATTTCTGTTAAAAAGAACCAGCATTCCTTGAAGAAATAGCTAAGTCCAGTGTTGGGCCAGGGAAAGTACATGATGAGCCTGAAATATCCTGTTATTCCATAAAGAAAAGAAGTATTCAATAATGACGAGGACGTGTTAAAAATATAAAAGTCACCTTGAATGTGCTCCCATTGGCCAAATTAAAAACAATTTGAACCTCAAAATAAACAATAATATTAACAGATTATGATGTCCTGAATAAAACAGAAAAACATGAGTCCATATTGATATAACTACAATCATGAATAAATGGAAAGTCCAATAAGAAGTAATATACTTAAGAGTTTCAATGTACCCCACATTCCCCTACATACATATACAATGTGTATGTATTACAAGGGGGAAACAAAAGAGTAACTTTACAGTAGGAAAACTTGGTAGACATCACCTAATCAAGTAATCAAAGTGAACACCACAATAATGGGATGAATCAAAATTATATGCTACTTGGATAGGCTGCAATGAGAACACAGAATCATTTCTGTGATATTTCTGCCAAACGTGCATATCCAGAATTTTATCCCAAGAAATCATGCAAACCCAAATTGAAGAATATTCTATGAAATAGCTGATATTGAAAAATGTCAAGGTTATGAAAGCCAAGGAAACATTAAAAAAAACTAAAGAAGCATGATAATTAAATGTTAATGCAAGATTATGTACTGGATCCTTCAATGGGCAACACTTAAATGGAGTCTGAGAATTAGATGATAGTCATATATTATTATTCATTTCCTGACTTGGAGATCCTAGTGATGTAGCAAGATGTCCTCTTAGTAGAAAATATGTATTAACATATTTGGGGTAATGAACCATCACATAATCAACTTATTCTCATATAATTTTTGGGAAAAAATATCTTGACATTCAACTTGTAACTTTCTATAAGTTCGTAATTGCTTTTAAAAAGTTCTTTTAAAAAACATTAAGATACTACTTTAGTATAGAGTGCAAGTAGGTACTTCCTTCCACATCTACATGGAAGGAAAGCATTGCAGAATTTATTCTGTAAATTAGGGTATCAATAAAAATCCAGCATATGCCCCTTTGTTCACAGTGAACCACACAAAAATGATTTTAAAGTTTACACTGTACTCCTCTTGGTAGTGCCTATAAAATGGCTGGCCATTAGCTGTTACTATTATTGACCAAAAAAAAATCTTAGTAACCCTGGAAAATAAAACATTGTTGGTAAAAATTATTTCACATATAGATGCAATGTAGCCAAAGTTTGGTACATCAGTTAAATGAAGAACACCAGCCTAAAAGGAAGAGAACAAAGTAAACAAAAAGGTTTTTTATTAACTTATCTGCTCAACATTCTATTAAAGAACAGCACGCAAATAGCCTAGAACTAGTCAAACTCTTTTTATTAATAACTTGTTAAAGATACTATCTTTTATAAATAAAGGGTTTGACCTAGGAAGAATAAATGCATAAATACAATACAAGCTATGATCCCAAAATACAGAAACAAACAAGAGAATCTCCTTTCTTAAAATAGGCAGGGAATGAAATAAAAATTCTATAAAAGCATGCATCTAAGTAACACATCTAAAATCAACTTTGTGATTTATGAATTTAAAGTCTGACAGCAAATTTCTTTATAAGCAATCCCAGATTTATTAATAACCTATGTTCTAAATATCTGAAAGCTAGTTGTTTTTAAGTTAGGATGCATTTTTTAAAAATGAATCATAGATAATTAGTCTTTTTTCACATCAGTTCATAGTTTGTTCCATCAGTAATGTACTGGAACCTAAATATCACATGTGCTTCTTTGGTAAAATAAGCTCAGATTTCATGGCCCACCAAGAAAAATAATTCCTTCCTGATTGCAGTCCTTGAAAAGGAATATTGGATATAGAATTCCTTGCCACATAGCCTGCAATCACCTGTTACTTCTAATCTAGGTTACTTTACAGCTTAGGAGCATCGTGAATTAAAATGTAGAGTGATAGCTTCTACTTCTGACAAGAAATAAGGCATCTAGGCTAGTCACTTAACCTATCTCAGTATCAATTGCTCATTTTAAAAAATACTACCTATCTTAAGTAGGAAAGTTGAGAAAATCAAATAAGATAATGTGTATATGACATCTATTACTGTGTCTGGCACATAATGGATGCTTCTCGTAATTTTATATCCAGTGTAGTCTTACTCCCAGAACTATACCCTTTCTTTTTTTTAAATGCTGTCTCTCATTCCTTGTGCAACACATTTAATCAAAATGCTTAATTCTTTTCTAACCAAGGGAGGTATTAGGACAAGATGAAATGAAACGGGAAGTGAAAGAGCAGTTTACTTACAGATTTTATCTAATTCATCTGTAGTTTCAAATGGGGAACAAAATGGAGTTTAAAAAAACGGCAGCAACAACAAAAACAATACACAGGCAGGAGAAAGAATCCAGATAACATCTTAGTTCTGTGTGAGTCAATCTTCACAATGTGGTTTCATTGTTTTATAAAAAGTATCAAAATTTCTTGAAGACAAATATAAACTATCATTTTGGCTTTTTCTTTCAATTAGCGAAAATAATAAAGTTATCAATTTCAAAAAATCTTGTATTTCTTCTTGGTTTTTATAGTTTTTGGTGGACATTAAGATAATTTTATTTAGGAAAACCCCATTACATTAACATAGACTTATATTAATGAAAAAATTAGAAGGTGGCTTTTTTTTTTTCATTTTAATTGTTAAGATTTAATTACAAGTTTTTAATTTACACACACTTCTACGAATATACCTATTACATAAAAAATGTTAGGCATATAGGTTGGTGTTTCTTAAATTATTTTCTAGTGGAATCTACATGTTCCAAAGTCAACAGTTTTTTTGATGTTATTGTTTTAAGCATAGGCCTTTTTGGTCTTTAATATGTTAATCTGTATTGTGTTCCTCTAAGAAAGAACTATAACCACATAGTTTCCATGCATATTTGCCCATGAGAATTTCATTAAAGGCGAATCTTGTAAGCTAGTAGTATCTTATAGAACTAAGGAATCATTGCTAAAATTGACACTCCCTTTGTGAATTGTATTCTTCTCCAAAACTTTTCAGATGATTTGGTTGAAAGAATAAGACCTTTTATCATCAAGTCCATTATTCACACATCAATAGTATTTTGAGTCCTTCGTTGCTTTAACAGTAATCATGCCTGACCAGAAAGCATAGCAGAATGAGCACAGCCTGTCCTGGATTATTTAAAGTCCAGCTCAACCACTTGCTAACTGCATGATCTAATATATAACATTCTCTAAGCTATATTTTACTCATTTGTAAACTGTAAATGATAAAATGAGGAACTTGCGAAGGTCACAGAGCTGGCCAGTGGTAGAACCAGAATGTGAATTCAAGGCTGGGGGCCCCTCTATCAACCACTTCATTGCAACGTTTCCTTGTAACTACCATCTCATAGTCACTAAGAATAAAAACAGCTTTAAAAGTGCTTGTTTGCTTATTTATTTACTTCTAGATTATTGTAGCGAGAACACTAACAGGAGATCCAGCCCTTAGATTTTTAAGTGGACGATCCAGTGCTGTTAAGAATAAGCACTATGTTGTGCAGCAGCTCTCAAGAACTTTCATCTTGTATAAGTGAAACTTTAGACCGTTGAAGCAACTCCCCACTTCCCCCTCCCACAGCCCTTGGTGACTGGCATTGTACTCTCTGTTTCTATGAGTTTGACTATTTTAGATACCTCATTTAAGTGGAATCATGCAGTATTTGTCCTTCTATGACTGGCTATTTCAGTTAGCATAATGTCCTCAAGGTTCATTCATGTTGTCACATTTTGTAGCATTCTCTTCTTTTTGAAGGCTGAATATTTTATATAACAGTGTCTGACACATAATAGGCATTCAGCATATGGTAGTCATATTGATAATTCTAGAGAACTGACACAAATGGGATGACAATGAACTTCATTTGCCAGATTTTCTAATAAAATTGATAATGCTAATGCCATTGCAGACTTCATGTTTGGATGATGAAAGGGTAGATTGTTTAGGCCAATCCTCATACCGAAAATACTGAATCAACTATATTTTAAAAAACTTTCCCAGACCAAGAAAGAAGTAACAAGACCACAGAAATTACCAGAATAAATCAGATGAATGAGAACCAATGAGTTAAGTGAGCATACAAGCTCTATTTGTCTTAATAGCATTTGCCAATCCCAGCAAATCTGAATTTATGATTTAATGATTTTGCAACATGAGGGAAGCCTAAGAGAAATCAAAATCTAAGGCCTGAACAAAGCAAGCAGTTTAATGAGAGATTTTCCTCATACTAAGCTGATATCCCAAAGGAATCACCAACAGGGTAGTGGTAAGCCAAAAGCAAACCAACCTCAGTATCCAGAATTCCCATTGCCTGTAGGTGGAGATGGGAGGGGTCCAGAGATACTTAGACATGGTCTTTGGATAAAGTATGCCTAGCCTGATAGTCCCCCCAGGTGCCTGTCAGAAACAAACAGAAACTCTAAGCATCAATTTAATCCTACATATTAACTGTAAACTTTCAATTATAATGACAAACGCAGAAGATAAACAGATATTGAAGGGATTGAGACATCATGAGTCTCAGTAAGAACTAGTAGAAAAAAAAAAACAGAAACCAACTCAGAAAGACTTTATATATCTGAACTACTAGTCACAGATTATGAAACAGCTATGATTACTCTTTTAAAACCTAAAATATAATACTGATAATGTATGCATGGAATACAAAGTAGCATAATAGATTTGAAAAAGTAAAAGAAAACTTCCAAAGCTGAGAAATACAATAACTGAAATAAAGAACTTGGTATATAGGTTTAACAACAGATCAGACAGGGCTGCAGAGAGAATAAGGAAATGGAAGATAGTTAAAAAAAAAAATCCAGAAAAGCAGCACAGACAAAAAGATGAAAATTATATCATAAAAGGTAATAAACATAGAGGATACAGTGAGAAAGATTAACATAGGTTTAACAGGAATGTTAGGAGAGAAACAAGAGAATGGAGCAGAGGCTGTCTGAAAAGAAAAGTGAGATTTTGTCCAGAACTAATGAAAGATCTGTCACCAATCAAAAACCTAAAGAAGTTCAAGGAGTTCCAAAAACAACGTAAATGAAATTAAATTCTATACTTATAGTGAAACTTCAGAAAACCAAAAACAAAGAGAAAATAAAGTTACTTTCACTGAATAAAAAACTGACCAAACTACAACAAGACTGATAATTAAAAAACAGGGTGAGTACAAACAGCCAATATCAGGAATAGAAAAGAGAGGCATTGCTACAGATGCTGCAGAAATTCAATAAAGCTATCATGAAGAAGTTAATGCTTGTAAACCTCAGATTCTAGATTAAATAGATTCATATGTATAAAAATATAACTTAACTAAAACTGACTCAAGAAACAGTAAACCTAAAGAACTCTATGAGTATTAAAAATAACTGAATAAGGGATAAATACAAAGTGATATATAATGAAATACTATGAGCAGTGAAATGCATACATATTGAATAATAAACAAAAAGCAAGTCATTAAGAAAACATAATGTGATTCCATCCACATAAAGTTCAATCCAGAAAAATCTAGACTATATTATTTGGGGAAGCAAGTTGGTGGTAAAACCATAAAGAAATGCAAGTAAGTGAATACCAGAAAAGTTGGGACATGTTTACACCTAGGGTACTTGACGGGAAATAGTGTTGGCAATGTTCTATTTATTAACATGGAAGTAGTTATGTACATATTCTCATAATTATCTATTAAAATGTACTTTTACATTTTATGAACTTTATTTTTAATGTAATATTTAGTGTGAAACAAACAATATTGTTGTAAAATTGCCAATCTCAACAATACAAGCCACCCATCTTTACAACAATAAATATTAGTAAAGCAGTACCTATCTGTATATATTCTATTTCAGAATAAGAATAGGAATAAATAATCCAAATAATATTTGCCAAGAATTTTACCAACACCACTCTATATTCTTCATCATAGAAAAATAATCTGAGAGAGTAGAGAGTGCTCATGCTAAGTTTTACAAACCTTCCTAATAACCCCCTTCTTCACCTTGCCATATTTCTTTTGGATAAACTATAACTACCAATATCATCCAGAGAGAAAAGGGTTAAGGTTGATTTAACCCTACAATCTCTTAAATCCTCTGCTTCCCACAATGGAAGGGTTGACTTCCTCAATTTCAAATTTAGAAATAAGACAGGTCCTTTGATTGCCAACTAGTAGAGTGGTGAAGTCACCAATTTCAAGTCAAAGACAAAGATTCAGAATGTACAAAACCTTTCTGTTCTCACCAAGCTAGCCTCACTAGCCAATCTCTGGAAAAACAGCATGGAGAAAGGAAAACAAACTTTTCACTTTTGGGGAAAAGGGATGGAAATATTTAAAAGAATCGACAGAACCACTCATTTCTACATTATTTAAGCCAATATCCACTTCAGGGGAACATGTTAAAATTAGAAATGTTTACTGTCACCATATACATATACATATATATATATCTCGACATAACATATACATACCGACATATGTAATAAGTGTGTGTGTATGTATACATACACACACACACACAATATGTATACTGACATAACATATGTAATAAGTAAAATATAGATTGTACTTACCATTGTGTGTATGTATATATGTATACTGACATAACATATGTAATAAGTAAAATATAGATTGTACTTACCATTGTATGTATGTATATATATATATATACACATTACCATGTATATATATATACATACACACACACACACACACACAATATGTATACTGACATAACATATGTAATAAGTAAAATATAGATTGTACTTACCATTTCCATTAATAGACAGATTATGGGTCTTGAAACTGTCCTCAGCACTTTCCAAGGTCAGGGTAGTCTGAGCTAGTAAACTATACTTTGCACCACTAACAGTGAGAAAGAAGACATGTTTTAAGTATTTGAGTATATTTTCTACTACATAAAATATTCAAATGTTCAACAACAACAAAAAAATCTGATTAAAACGTGGGCAAAGGACTTTGACATTTCTCTAAAAGCGATATACTAATGGCCAATAAAAACACGAAAAGATGCTCAAGATCACTAGTCATGCAGATCAAAACACAATGAGATACCATTTTACACTCTTGAGGATGGCTATTATTAAAAAGCAACAACAACAAAGAAAATAGAAAATAACGAATGTTGGCTGGGATGTGGACAAACTGGAACTTTGTACAATACTGATGGGAATATAAAATGGTAACCACTATGGAAGACAGTATGGTAGTTCCTCAAAAAATTGGAAATAGCATTAACATATGATTCAGCAATTCCACTTCTGGATATATAGCCAAAAGAACTGAAAAGTTGGGACTCACACAGATATATGCACACCCATGTTAATATCATTATTCAAAGAGTCAAATAGTAGAAGAAGCCCAAGTGTCCATTCAAGGGTGAAAAGGTAAACCATTTAGTATATACATAAAATGGAATATTATTTAGCCTTAAAAAGAAAAATTCTGACACAGGCTACAACATGGATGAACCACACAGACATTATGCTAAGTGAAATAAGCCAGTCTCAAAAAGCCAGAATCCTACTGTATGATTCAACTTATATGAGGTACTTAGAATAGTCCAATTCAAACGACAGGAAGTAGAAGGCTGCCAGGGGCTGGGTGGAGGGGGAAACAGGGTATTATTGTTCAATGGGTACAGTTTCAGTTTGGGAAGATTACAAAGTTCTGGAGATGCATGGTTGCACAATATCGTATAGGCACTTAATACCAGTGAACCATACTTAAAAATGGTTAAAATGGTAAACATTACATCACCTATATTTTACCAAAAAAAAACTCCACACATTTAGATGTTATAAATGCTAGTTTATAGTTAACATAAATGATTAATCAACTTGGCATGTTTCTCTTTTTATGCTATTGTATCTTAAGAAAATCTGAAAATTATTTGGTTTAACTTACAAATATTTCTTTTGAATGATCTCCATTCATTCAAAAATAGTAACTGAATACCTAATATGTGTCAAGTCTTATGCAAGGTGAGGGGCATTAATGGTAAATAAGACTCAGTTATTATATTCTGAGGCAGGAGGGAGGAGTAAAAAGAGTAAGTGGAGGAATGAATTGAATACTGGCATTTGAAAGTTGTAATGCAACTTTTTCTACCAAAGAAACGGAGATTAGAAAGCTGAGGACCTATGTTAGAGGAATCAGGGAAGGCGAGGAAAAGTCACTGAGGTAGAAGAAAAACCACAAGAGTGGAATCCTAGAAGGCAAGCTAAAAAAGAGCTTCAAGGAGAGCGATCAATCGTGTTAAATGCGCTAAAAGTTCCAGTCAGAGAAATACTGACAACTGACCAAAGGCTTTGGTAACATGACGGTAACCGTTGACTTTCACAGAGAAGTTTCTGTAGGTTGAGATAGAGGTAATAGGATGAAAGCTGACTGGAATGGTCCAAGAGAATGGGAGGAGAAAAGTGGAGATAGATAATATAAAAGACTCTTTTCTGTAAAGGACAGCTATGAAATAAATGGGCAGTAGGAATGGGAGGTATTTCAGCATGTTTATGTATTTGTGGCTATGGAATGCAGTAGAAGAAAACCTGATGGTGGAGCATGGGGAGAAGGGTACATGTGCAGGAACCTACTTTTGAGTAGTTGAGAAGATGAGATGCACAAGTAGGTTTCCTCAGATGAGGCAAAGGCAATTAGTTCACAAGGAAGGAAAGCAGCAAACAAAGATCCAAATGCTAGTAGATTTTGTAGATGGAGAAAATGTTAAGTTCTCTTCTGATTGCTTCAGTAGTGTCAATGGCATATGAAATAGTCATTGGCTTTTGATAAAGAGTGGAGAGGACATGGTACTGGAGGTTTCAGAAGAGAGTAACATGATGTGAAATACTTATCCTAATGAGAGGTGAGTGGAAGGCTATGGAAACTTAGTAGGATTGCTCAGTCATACTGAGAACTCACTTAAAGTTAGTCATCATGTGTCTAATGTGAGACCAGTGAGTATGACACTTTTTCTCCAGCCTCATCTATTCTTCCTGAGTGTAAAGTGCAGAGGAGCTAAAAGTAAAATTTAAGTTGATTTCCAAAGGTATGACAAAAGGAGAGAAATATTAGGAAAGAATAAAATGGCAAATCACGGTGTCAAAGCTAAGTTGGAGTCAGAGCACTGAAGGGAGCAAGCTGGAAGTGTGTGAGGTGGTGGTAGAGAGGAACACCTAACAAGATTATAGGGGGTGTGCAAGTATTAGTGATGATAAGATCTAGAGTACAATCATGTGGTGGATGGCTGAAATAGCTAAGAAGGCAAGATCACTGGTGGCAAGGAAGTTATGAGAAGACAATCTACGTGTACTTTAAGTCCAACAAGAATAAAAAAACAAACCTGAAATGGTGGGAGGCAGGAAAAGGGAGACAAAGAAAAGGAAAGTTTTGTTTCTATTTTTAGGAGTAACATTATAATTTATTCTCACTGACCACTAAAAAACATCTGCGTATTCTTCACTTCAGGAATGGCGCCATTTCAATACATAGTGTAACATAAAATACTGCGATTAGTGTCACAGAAAGCGGCTATGTTACAGGCTGCTTATACTTACGCTGAGTACACTGGCTACACTGGCGTGTTTAGGAAGCAATCTGTGTGGCAGTTGAGGCTAATATTATGTGATGAACAAAGTATATGTTTAATTTTTTTTCTTAGGGCTTAAAAAATAATTGTGACTAAGACATCTTTTCCTCAATTACTTTAAGGTAAACATGTAAGACATTTGCCTCTATTTCCAATGAATAGATGGTTAAATAAACCATGATAGAGCCAGTTAATAGGTAATGTGATCATTACAAGGATTTTGTGAAGACTCTGTAATAACCCTAAAAAATGTTGAATGTATAGTATAATTATGAATATCTAAATATCCCCTAAAGCTAGCTATTTAAAAACCTAGAATTATAAAAAGCTTTTGACTTAGAGTGGTTGAACTATAAATAACTTCTCTTCTAGATTCTATTTCTCAAGTTTATATTTTGTAATGAAATAATAAATGTAAAGTTGTAGTAGGATGAAAACATCCCCTAAAAATCAGAGACATACGAAGCATTATAATATTACATCTACTTATGTGAAGTTTAAGGCACTTTGACAAGCAATATCTTTTCGAAGGTTTACAAAAACTATTTGAGGTAGGCAGGGCAGATATTCTGGTCCATGTTTTCAGATGAAGAAATTCAAGTGCAGAGAATGTAAATGACTTGCCTATAGCTAGCAAGTGCTATATTAAAAAAAGAACTCCACTATGCTATACTTACTATCTTTATACTTCATTAAGAAATAGTTGAAAATTAAGGTACTTTTTCTGTTAAAACAGATGTATAATGACCATATTTTAGTACTACAAAAATTTTGAATGGAAGGAGCATGTCTTATTAACCTTTGAAACCAACATGCCACATGATGTAACTGCTGAATAATCATTTCTAAGATCATTAAATGAATAAATTAATTATACTCAACAGCTGAGTAATTCCTTAGTTATGTTTGAATGCTGAGTCATCTTTCACAGTACCAAACCATTAACACCCTTGTTCCTCAGAACATAAATAATCCACTTATTCTGCACGAGAGTTAGTATACATGTAACTTCAACCTAATTTAAAATGTAATATAGTGGCTTTTTAAAAAAAATTTATACACCATTTTGTCAAGTAAATAATCACTCTCGATTTTACCAGTTTTCACAAGATGACTGTTTAAAACAACGTATGTTTACACAATGAAGAAAAATGTACTATATAGTTCTTAAAAAGCATAAAATAGTTAATTCAGCTATAGAGGCACTGGGAAAAATCTAGCTAAAGGAATTCAGTAAGCTAAATTCCACAAATCAAATGAATAAATGAATCACATAAGGGAGCATGCTAAAAATTACCAAAAATGTTCACTGTCTTCTTTCAGATCAAACAATACTTTATGATGATATTTCAAGTTACTTCATTTTTAAACCATGACTAATTACAATGGCAATGCTTCCAAAACCAACAATGATCTCATTTTTAAAACATTCTTGTCAGGATAACATTTTCTTACTAAAACATTACACTCATTCCTTTGGCCAACCCTAATATTGAGCTCCCAAAAGTTTAATCGGCTACATTTTTTAAAATCAAATAGGCCAATTGTTATAACATTTGGGGGGGAGGTATCCAAAAATGTTATGAGAAAACAAATAACTACTTTAAATGGTAACCCGAAAAAGTGCTCTCTTTTGTCAGGAAGAACAGCTGTATTTGGTCACATGCCATATTACTAGATAAAATATATATTGTCTAAATTTAATCCTTTATGCTGATTTTGGCTAAAAATTAAAAGCTGTATTAGGAATTTTCTCATTGAACTAGATCACTATTAAAGAAATAAAACTGATCCCCTTTTTAATACTAATTTTATTTTCAAACTCATCATGGTGCTGAAGTGGTCAGTTAAGGAAATATCAGTATCAGGTAAGAGCTGTCATGGGCTATGAGTTTAACCTCGTATACTCTGGATTCAGACCAGAAGCTCTATAGTATGCTGGTATTAGGAGAACACAATTTGAAATGTTGTAAAAGGTTTTATTCTATCTTTTGACCAACTTTAATGGTATAAATAAACAAATGGTAGGTAAGTTTCACGGGAAATGTTAATAAAGAAAATCAGTAGTGAGGGGACGTAGATGGGATAAAAGGGGTCAAATAGGTGGTGACAGAAAGAAATCTGACTATAGGAGGTGAACATACAATGTAAATATATATATGCCTTACTGTTAAAATGTATAGCTGAAAACTTACTGGATTTCGTTAACCAATGTCATTATAAAAAATTAATTAATTAAAAAAAAAGAAAATCAGTATATGAATTCAGGTATAGAGCAAGTAGAATGACAAATCTAAATAGGAGAATGAATACTTCAAGACAAAGATGTTAATCCCTATTAAAAAAAACTTAATACCAATAATGTTATTCTCAAAAATTCTTCGAGGCTTCGAAGAGGAATATAGGTTAAAAAGAAGTTCTAACATCACTTATATTATCTTCTTTGAAATTATAAACATTATTTTAAATTTTAAAATATCTGTCTACAATTTATATCAAATTTTGTCAAATTTTCTAAACTGCAATGCTTCAGCATGAATTTGAAAAAAAAGTATGGTCTCAGAACATTAAAAATAGTAACAATGGTAAGAGCTACATTTATTAAATGCTTACTATAATACCAAGTTCATGAATTATCTTTTTGAATCTCATAAATATCATATGGAGTTAGATATGATTACATGATTAATAGTCTCATTTTACAGAGGGAAAAACAAAAACCTAGAAAGTAAATTAATCTGCCCTGGGTCACACAAATAAATGACAGGATAAAAAATTGAAATATTCACTGTCAAATGATAAAATTTTAAAACTAAGAGGTCCACTCATTGTTTTTATATGCTTTAAAAGCATATGAAACACTAAAAATGTCTCTAAGGATCCTTCTAAAAAAAACTGTGTCTAAGCATCCTCACCTTTCATATGAGAAAAGAGAGGCCTTGGGAATAATGTAACGTCCAGAACACAACTAGTCTTGTCATTTTTTAAATAAGGAATTTGCTGCTTAAAAAAAGTTTTAAAACTACTGAACTCAGTAATTACCTCCAAGGTCTCTTTTAGTTCTAAAATCTATGATTCAACTTAGAAATATAATTGCTCATTTAATCATCAAAAAGAAATGGTTCCATTACCTTATGGTTGAATTAAAGCATCTTTTCAGCAAATACTTGATATAATCTTAACCTAAAAAAAGTTTTAAGATAGACTTAATTTTAAAGGAAGAAAATTAAAGGGTCCTCTTCCTCTTTTTTAATGACATTTATATTAGCATAGAATATTTTCCATGACTGTTTTTCAGAGGATGGGACCCATTTATAGATCATGAAATCAACTTAATCATTCACAGATTATTCTAAAAACTGAAAATAACTAGAATAAAAGAGTCTGATAATTATATTATAAATAGCAAGGGCTAAGTATTGTTTTATGAACTCTGCTTATGTAGTTGTGCACTCAGTCATGATGTAAAATTAAAATGTACTTAGAAAGGGTTCTCAAGCAAAATAGACTGAAAGCCACAATGCTAGAGTCCCAAGGCATTTTCCACACGAAATATATCTGACATGAAAAGAGTTACTTAATTACACTCTGATGATTGATACTTCCAGGATCTATACCTAAAATATTTTGCTTTTTGTAATTACAGTAAAATTACTGGCATGCTGAAGAGCCAACTCTACTGACATGCAAAGAAATTCTAGCAATGTAGCCTCATCAACAGTTTTCTCAAGAAACATAAACATAAAAATATTTGTGAAGCAACAAACACAATGTTTAAAGAAAGTATCTGAAAGAAACCAGGGATTCTCAAAAAAATGATAATTCTAAATCTGGGCAGAAAGTACAAGATGAACATGGAACATCTTGTGTCAGAAAGCAAAGAAGCTGTCAGAGATTAGGTTGTATCAAAAATATGCAGGAGTCAACATGAAAGTTTACCAGTAATCAAAGATGAGACCATTTGGCTTCAAAGAAAATAATAACTACAATAGATTAAAACACTAATAGATAAAAATTAAAGAGTTAAAGCAAAACACTGATCACCTCCATGGTTGCTAGGATATCAAATTATTCTAAAATTGGATAAATAAAAGAAACAATTAAATTTTTTTTCTTTCCTTTCTTTCATCTTTCTTTCTTTTTTTTTTTTTTTGCATTTATATCCACAGAGTTCGTGAAGGGAAGTTCTCCTTTGAGAGAATTCTAGGTTTAAAAAAAAATGCAGGAGATTTGACTTTTGGTGGTGAACACAATGCAATATACAGATTACGTGTTATAGAATTATACACTGGAATCCTATTTAATTTAATTAACCAATGTCACCCCAATGAGTTTAATTTTAAAAATTAAATAATTGGACTCTTCTTAGATCCCAACTGAATCAGATACTCACGTACTCAGTTCTCTCCTAAATTTCTTTCTCCTCTCCAAAAACTACATAATAATGTAAAAGCAAGATGGTGATGTTGGAATGGAAAGAAACCATCTCAGCATGTGAGATGAACAGAATTATGATGAGGAGACATTTAAATATTTGAATATTCATTGTACAGCATCTGACATAGAAATAGTCTTGTCCTGACTGAAGGAGGTTATAGGTGATCAGCGTGCTCCACTTCATCTCCAAAGACAATGATTATCAAGCTTCCTCCTCAGATTTTTGAGAATTTTACCAGGACAGAAACCATGTCTTTTTTGGTAACTCCCACCAATGAAAGAGACTTCTGACGCTAATACGATGGAGAGAGATTTAACTACTTTTTATCCCTGGGATAATGTTAAAGATAATGATCTATCTTGAGCATGGTTACAGGGTCAAATGAGGGCAACATATGCCCAAAACCAAGCTGCATTTAGAATTGTGATTCTACTGAAAGAATGCTGGAGGCTAGGTTACAAAAGGAGATCCTACCGACTTTAAAGGAGAATCAATTGCTACTATTTCCCCATATAAGACCTGTCTCCGAATCTATGAGCTTGATTTCATAGATACAGAGACCAGATTAGTGGTTGCCAGAGGTAGAAGATAAGGTGTGGGGTGGGGTGGGCAAAATGGGTAAAGGGGGTCAAAAGGTATAATCTTCCAGTTATAAAGTTAAGTCACGGGATGTAATGCACACCATGGTGACTATAAGTAACAATATTGTATTGCATATGTGAAAGTTGCTAAGAGAGTAAATCTTAAAAGTTCTCATCATAAGAAAAAATTCAGTAACTATGTATGGGGACAGATGTTAATTAGACTTATTGTGGTAATCATTTTGCAATATGTAGAAATATTGAATATTATGCTGTATACCTGAAACTAAAATAATATATTTCAGTTATACCTCAATGAAAAAAGATAACTTAAAAAAAATGCAGGATAAATTTAGCAAGTAACCAAATTATAATCCCTAATAAAATAATAAATGATCAGCAATGGCTTCTAAAACCATTAGACAAAAGATTGATAGGGAACTTTATAATGGATAAATCAGGCTGGCAACACCTGAACCCACTGATCAATTTTAACATGACTTAAAGTAGAACAAGGGCTCCTAATGCGAGACAGTAGGAAGCACATATAATCAATACGAAGTATTACTGCCATAAATGAGAACCTGAATCTAATCAGTCTTCTAGGTGTAGCTATCAGGTATAGGAAAACAGAAGATAGGAAAAGATGTTTTTAAAAAAACCCACAAAGATACAATCAGCTAAATTCAAAATATGGAAAATTCCACAAGATCTGGTTTCTTCAATAAATAATGGCAAGAAAAAAGCAGATAGGAAATTGTTAAAGATTAAAAAAACTTAAAAGACTCACTTAAACGAAACATTGTAGAATTTGTTTGGATCCTGATTTGCACAAACAAACCACAAGAGGACTTTTTCAGAATTGGGGCAATTTGAATACAGACTAGATATCAGAAGATATTAAAGACATTTTTTTATTTTGTTAGGTATGATAATGGTAATGCGGTTTTGTTACAGAGGTAAAATATTTTTTTTTAAATCTATATGAATAAAGCATGACATAAATATAGAAATCCAATTAGCAGGCTGATATGTAGCAAATACTTTGACATATAAAGTCCCTTTTCAAGAAAAACATTTCATCTTTCTGGTAGATACTGGAATTCCAAAATCACTAAAAACAAACTGTCACTCAACTTCCTACTTTCAAAGTAAGGTATTACGGCTACCTCAGCTGGGTAAATGTCAGACAACCAAGTTTTGTTTCTGCTTCAGGATGTTTTTTCCTTTTAAAATATAAACGTACACTCCACATACAATACTTTAAAATGTCACAAATATATAATTATACCATCACTATAAATATTGCATTAGAAACTTACGAAACAGCAGGACTGAAGGACAAGCATGTTTCATGATCTTGAAGAAATGAATTTATTTTCTTTCCTGTAGCTTTACTTATAGAGGTCTTCAGTTTCTTAGCTAATTTTTTTGGTGTGTTGGTTAGAGAAGATTCTTCTGTACAGCAACTATATAATTCCACCTTTATCTGAAAGTCTGGCCTTGCTTCATTACTAAAAACAAGGGCATTCAAAATGTTAGAAATTTAACTCAAAAGGAAATAAAATTATAACATCCTTTGATGTTTTCATACACTTGAAATCAGCATTTGAAATAGGTTTATGTTAATGTATGTTAATGAGACAGAATCTCCCAGCACTTATTTAGTATCTAAATGACCTGAGTCACTACAACTTCCAGAGGTACTGGCTTCTAAAGTAGATAGGTCTTAACTCAATTTAAACAATATGTAAAGGCATATTACTTAAAGAAAAAGAATAAAATGTCCTGGTTATTTTGTTGCCAATGCTATTTCTCCTTGTCATTCCTTTAATACAGCTATTTTTAAGGTGTTTACATTATATGTGTGATTTCCTGAAATGACTATTCTTCCAAAAGAAAGTGGTTTGAAAACAAAAAGGAAAGAAAACAAAATGAAAAAACCCCAAAGGTTTCTTCTGTTAAAAACTTTAGTTTTCATTTCTTTTTCATAGTCACTTACAGTCCACTTAACCACTGTGCCAGTAACTCCCCCCACAACCTGTCCCACCTGTACACCTAATAACTCTAAAATAACATTTCAATATTTAGTTATATAAGAGAAAAACAAACAAAAAATAACATAAAAAGATAGACTCAAGGTATGAACTTGAAGGTCAGTGCTGGTAATCTTTGTATTCTTAAACTAGCATAAAAGGTACTCAAATATTTATTAAACCAGTATGCAGAAATTCTGCAATTTTAGCAAACACTAAGATTGGCTTTGCCCTTTTTCAGACACAATTAACTGCCCTTCCATAAAAGACTGTGGTGGTGTTACTAATAATAAAATATATTTAAAATGGCAAAACAGGTCCATCAGCAGTAGATATTACCTAAAGACAATCCATCAGCCTCAGAGATTTTAAAAATGCAGCACAGACTTTTTAAGATTTAAATGGCCAATCCAAAGTTTGGATAAATCCAAGGAATAACTTCCAGATATTTTTATAGTTTATTATTTGGCAACTTTTAAACATACAATATTCCTGGTAATGACTAACAAATGTCAATATTTAGAGGAAAACCAGAGATTCATAAATATTGAATACTTATTAAAAACAATCATAACAAAAGGCACATTTTTAAACAACATTTAGAACATCTGACTGCACTTATTTTTAGAACAATTTAAAATATTTACAGAATTTTTAAAAAATTATAAATCATGTGTTGTCTTTCCAAGAAACTTACATTGTTCTGTCCCTGGAGAAAAATATATGATTTTTGTCTTTGTGGTAAAACAAACAATAGCAATGACATGAAGAAAAGAGCCCATTAACAGATGATTTTGATAGGAAAAAGTTTATTAGCAACCGTTGATAATGGAAATAAATGTATTTAGGTAACCAAGAGTAATTATTTTTTTAGTCTCAATTATGTAAACATTTTTGGGATCCTAAATAAATTGCTTTGGTTCAACAGAGCTTGTAAGAGGGCCCACATTACTTCTAATAATACAGAACAATGTATTTTATTTTTCTGTGCCGTGCAATTACTTATGGGACACTGGACAGAAGCCACAAAACATGGTTTGCAATAGTTTTTTTTAATGTTATGTGTGGCAAAACTAGTACTCTTAAATCTCAACTGTATTGCTCCATAGCTGAAAATGGCAAAAGTCATGTATACTGACTTTATTTTAATAGTTAAATAGCTATTAATATTTAGATATGAAGATAGTGTCTTTAAAACTCTAAAGGAAATACAAATCATACACTACTTAGGCCAACATAACCTTTAAAAGAGGCCAGGAAAAACTTATGTTAGTTAAAAATGATTTCTATGGCTACCTGAGGAGTTCTTTCTGGTGTTGCATTATGACCACAATAAAATGAGCCTGTAAAAAAGCAGACGCAATAAAAACAGCCCTGAGGATCACCCAATGTTTTATTGTTTTGGAGTACATGAAAGAAGTGCACCATAAGAAAAAGAACATCTTGAAATTTTACTAAAGTGCTTTTTCTACGGCACATATTTCAGGACTATCGTATAAGTAAAGTTGTAATACTAATTTGGTATTTCTGTAACTAAATCTCCTCTATAAGATATCAAAACCTGTTTTATTCGCAAATGCATTCTGTACACAATAATGTTATAATGAGATTCCATTGTATTCATGGCTTAGCAAATAAATGAACTATAAACATTTGCAAAACTTAAAAAAATTTATAATATGTAATGAGTCAAACGCTTATTACTAATATCACATGATTTCCATTTACTTTAAGTTGGAAAATTTTAAATGTAGAAATGGACTTCTTTTGAATAAAGTAACTTTTAAAATCAATTTAAACATTTAAACATCTTAATGCTTCAAAAATAATCCAAAGACCCAATAATCGTACCCACCTTTAAAAAAGAATTTTAGATTATTTTCATTCTCTAAAGATAAATAATACTTACAATACGGTTACATTTTCAAAACATATATCTGTAATTGTTTTATCCACAATCATCATGTCAGTATCAAAAACTTCAGCTCCCATTTTGAATAAACAAAAAATGGCATAGCGCGGTGATCCTAGAGAAAAAAAAACATTTAAGCCATTTAGCATGTGATAAATCAAGCCTATATTATGTTAAAATTTACTTGAAAATGAAAAAAAATTAGCTAAATATTTGTTAATAGATTCTTATTTATAGACACTGTACACTGCAATCCTTAACTTTTTATAGTGATTGTTTTGTCAGTGTATGTTAATATCCTACCCAACTACAATAATTAAACTAGGGAATATCAGAAAATAAAGCTAAAAATATAGGCCTCTTAGTAGTCTAAAATGACCACCAAACTCATAAATTTTATCCCTAGAAAACTATTTAAGCTTTAATCAACAGCAAAGTTATTATGTGTATGTGTGTGTGTGTGTGTGTGTGTGTATACACACATACACACACACACACACATACACACTCATATTACCTTTGTCATTTTGGTTTCCAAATCTATTTAAGAAAAAAAAGTTTTCTATTATAAGAAGTTAAGACCCGGCACGTTAACAGCAGCAAAACATTTTCCACTAAACTAACAGCAAGGGAGGAAACCACGAAAACAATAAAAAGTAGACATGTGAACACAAAAAAGCAGAGCTGCAGGGCCTTTTAATATGGTGATGTTTTTTAAAAGTAGTAGGTGATTAAAGGGCTAAATCCTTATTATTGAAAAGATGTAACTCTTCAAAAAAGTTAATCTCTATAATAATCAGATGTACTTAATTCCCACATGTATTCTTTTGTAAATTATATTTCCTAATTGAATAACAAATATACTAACCTGATTTTGGATTCTTCGTATAAAACTAATTATGTTCAATATGATTCAGTTTTTAAAGTATGAGTAACAATGGTATCACAACAGACAAGAACAATAAAGGATTATCATATCTTTACTGCTTTCCCTCAAACAGCTAGAAATTATTTGAGGTTAATTTCTATGACCTAAGTATTACATGGATTTGTGAAGACTATATAAAGCCATAAAATGATGAAGGGGAAAAAGAAAATAAGATCAAGCTAAAAATCTTTCTCTTTTATATCCTGTTAAATAAATAATCTGAAGTAACAAAACAAGGCAGAAAAGATATCCAGGGCTTTGGTCAATAGAAGAAAAGTTGCCTTTACCTTCACTCCTTAAACATTTTCTTTTGTTTTACACTTCCCTTTCCTTACAACTTGTCACATACTGTCCTTGCAAAGGTTCCTATCAACAACTAAAAGACTAATACATATTCATTCCCTTAATTAGTATCAAGCAATTATAACATATTTATACTAAAAATTAGGGAAAAAACAGTTCAGCAAGATTTTGCTTATTCTGTCAAATGACATCAATTCATTTCAGTGTGGAAGCAACTTTTTCTCCCAATAATCACAAATTAACTATACATTAAGGAAAAGATTCAAATTACAAATTAAAATCATACATACGTTCTTTATTGCTGAAGTGATCAGAGTCTTTCCACATCAGTGGTATTCGAATATCTACAAAGAGGGGAAAAATTGATAAGTAATAATTTTGGTAAATTTCATTTCTTAGAGTGAAATAAACCTCTGAATTCCATAATAGACTCTGATCATAAAAGCCAATTAAAATTTTTTATTTAAATACTCTAACACAGATACTTCCTCTAAAAAAAAAAGCTTAGACTAGAAATACAAAATCTGTTATATTTATTTAAATAATAAACTAAAACAAAGAATGCACCATTACTCAAGAAATTAACTTATTAATAAGTGAGGTCTATAACAAACTTATGCCATAATATTTTCATTTTGTGATTTGTGTTTTTTAAATAGGTGAATTATGAGGAAGCCAGGGTTGATTTTCTATTTTGGATAAATAGTAGCAGCAAAAGTAGTTATATACATTTCAAAATCACAGAACAGTAGAGGCAGAAAGGACTTTAGAACTTTTGCCCACTATTAAGTGACGTCTAAGACCACACTGGTTTTGGGGAGAGATCCAAGCTTTTGACAAACGGATCTAAACTCTCTCCACTAAGATTTAACTTGTCTACAAAAGAATACACAGATCTTTGTATATTCATGTTACAAATTCACATTTCCCTTAAGAAATAAAGCTAAAAAGAGGAATTTATTGCTTCTCTCAGACCAAGAAAGGGGCACATGTTCTAAAAGTGATTTGAACATATTTTCCCTCATTTCATACATTCTTCAAACTCTAATTGTGTAAATGATCTTCCAGAGTTAATCTAGAGCTTTGACAATCAAAATTCTCCTAATTTCCTCCATTCTCCCCTTTACTTTTAATACTAGATTAACAGTAATAACAATTTTCTTAACATTCCTATGCTATTTATATATTTTCAAAGTTAGAGGATCAAGATTCTACCTAATAGATTAAGATGTGTCAGCTACAGTATAATGTAGCACAGTAGAGATCTCAATGGTAAAGTTAGTTTTAATTACAAAAACTGTATGTTAAGAGTTTTAATTATTCAGAATACAAAATTTATAAATACCTCAAGACTTTGTGGAAAATTTCTGTTTAAAACACTTCCCTTTTATACTTAGGAAGTTTATGTGCATATTTTTCAAACCTATTAATTATGTCACTTTCAGATAATTACAAATCTTTATGAACATAAGCTGTTTAGCTATATTTAGGTTGTGCTTTGCTTTTAGATCCTATGATCCTTTGTCTACATTTTTGTTTAGAATTCAATTTTTAAGGTTCTTAATACTTATTTCCAATTTCCTTTCTAGAAAAGTTTTATTACTCCTTCATCCCTACCCTACCCAACCAGGCAAGTATGTATGAATGCCCTTCCCACTGCTGCCTTATTAGCAGTTTTGATAAAAATATTACTTACTGAGCTCTCTCCACATGCCAGGCTAAACACTTTACAAATATCTTATCAAACAATAATTTTAAGAATGTTTACCAATTTAACAGTCAAGTGACAGGATTTAATTGTTTAAATTTGCATTTTTTTGATTAATAAGAAAAGTGTTAATATATTTTATTGGCCAAATCAGTAAATGAATCTATCCATGGCCCATTTCTCTCTCTCTCTTTCTTTCTCTCTCTCTCTCTCTCTTTCTCTGACATATTACTTACAGTTTCTACTTTTAAAAGTTAATTATTTAATCTATGTGAGAATTTTTACCTCTGTGAGATAAAAATAATTGTTCTTCTTATAAAAATAATGGTTCCAGCTCCATTTATATCTAATAGGACTTCTTTCCCCTATGGATTTAATGATGCCATCTTTTATAATATATGCCATTCTAAGTGTCTGTTCCTTGGCTATGTAATTTATGGATCTAATTAAATCAGTTATTAATGACTGTCTATTCTAATACCAATACCAGACTATTATAAACATGGAACCTTTATAATATACTTTCTGTTGAAACACATCCTTCCAGAAACATCTTATTTTCACTAATTTCTTTGAATTTTAGAATATTTTATCAAAATTCCCTTCATATGTTTTATTAGAATTATTGTCAAAATTAATTTGGGAATTGATAACATTATAATATTGTCTTTACAGAGGAGCATAATGCAGTTACCCTTACATTTTTATTAAAGCTATTCTTGGGAGTAGTTAGCGTTTTTGGTTTTTGTTGTTTTTATTGTAAAGGAGATATTTTTTGTCATCATGTTTCCTAATTAGTTATTGCTGGTTTTTAGAGCAGCTACCACTTTTTGTATATTTATCTTGAATCTAGCCATTTTTACTGAATTCTTTATTAATTCAAATAGTGTGTCAGTAAATTTCCTTAGACTTTTTAGGCCTGTAATCAATTATCTTCAAATAGTGTTTAACTTGTCTACTTGTTTTCAGTAGTTTCATCTTTCATTCTTACTATTTAGCTAGGAATTTCTAAAACTGTGTTAAATTATATCAGTACAATAGACATTGTCATATTGTTCTTGATTTTAATGGGATTGCCTTTATTGTTTTATAATTATCACTTGGCTGATGTCCTGTCAAAGAGCCTGCTTCTTCTTCCTTGACCACAGTTGCTGATTCATTTCATTTCACAACTGTTCTTATTCACAGCTGTTCTGTTTCTACTAGGGTGGTATTAACTCTTTACACTATCTTGGGAGGAACATGGACCCTGACTTCTTTTACCTTATACCCATAGCCTGTGGTCAGTCTTGCCCTTTCCCATACCCAGCTATGTCAGAGCCTCAAGGGAAGGTAGACACTTCTTATCTATTCCCCAGGTGGTCATGTACAATCAGATGCCAAAGGATGTCTAAGCCACCATTTCTTAATTCAGCTTCAAATAGTAGAAATTCCTTCCCGATTCTCACAAATGGTTGACTCAGTTTTAGTTTACTGTCCTCTTACCTATGTCTTTTTTTATGTTTTCACTGACATTTTAATGGTAAACTGAGAGTCATAATAGGATGGCTAACTTGATGCTATCAGGCCTTAGAAGTCTGTCTATTATAATTTTCAAAAGTGAAAACTGAGGCACTTTGTGACTGATTTGGCTTTAGTCATTGAATTAGTAGTCAGTGAGTAAACTCAAGCAATTACCACAATGCAATTATTTGACATTCAGCAGAAATAATCAGGATAAGCTTCAATTATTCTTTTTACTTTTATAAAGATCTGGCCAGTGAATGGTGAAGATGGAAATGGAAAATCCAGGTATCTCCTGGCAATCAATGTAGTCTCATTAACATTAATAAAACTTTTGTTGCAAATGATTCATTTTAATCAAAACAAAAGTCATATTTTCATCCTAATGTCAAAAGAATACAGACTTATAAAGGTGAATTCGTTTTTAATTTTGTTTTTATTTTTACCAATACACAGGATACAATTAAGTAAGCAAAAATGAAATGAAATTACATATGTATCCCATTTTCTGAGACTTTCAGTTCCCTAATTTAATTTAAAATTACCTCTTGGAAAGAAAGAACACATGCAGAAATAAATTTAATTTCTATACATGAGTATTTGTGGTCAGGAAAATGGTCTTTTCTCTTACTTTAAATGCTTTTACTTAAGCATTCTTCTAAACGTAAAGTTAATGCTAATTTCATGAATTACTGCAAGTCAATAAACTATTTATTATAAATTGATAATGATGTTAACTCTTACTTGTCATGAGTCTTTAATAGCAATTTAACATATCTCATTTGTATACTGAGTGGCATTACAGTGGAAGCAAAAAATGAAGGATTACATTTAAGTATTTTTAGAAAATCCCCTTTAAAGATCTATAATATTTTATCTGTTGAACAACTACTAGGTAATTGTATTATGTTTGGCATCAAAAGGCTACGAGGAGGTATAAAACATGTTTTATTCCAGTCTTATAACTGGAAAGATTAAAACAATATAACTATAAAACAAGCAACTGATTTTTATATAGTTCTGTCATTTTTCTAATGAATTTTTGGCTAAGGGCAATTCCTCTGATTTAGGGCAATTACATTCTATGTGGAATTCAGGTCTATCCTTCCTGTATGAGAATTGTTTATCCATAAAGACACATCTAAAAACAGTTCTGTGAGTGACAGGGCCTGAAATGCAGCAGCCAGATCCCTGGAGCTTTGAAGGAAACAAGGCTTTTGGCCAATAAAAAAAAACCCTAGTTATTACTTAAGGACTGATGGAGGTCTATTGTTTCCAAAGGGTACTGATGAGATTTTTGTGCAAGGTACATTATCTAACTAGCATACCCACGAGTCAGTCATGTATCCACTTCAATCTGTGGCATCTCTAAGCCATTGTCTTTAGCTTCCTTAAACACTTTGGAGAAACTGAGACAACACAGCTTAAGTGCCATCTAGTGGTAAAGGGTCTCCTAACTGCATTAGGAATTCAGAGAAGGGAAACTTCATTTCCAGCTGGAATGATAACAGGGAAGACTTTATAGATGAGCAAACAGATCTTGAAGACAAGATAGTTATTTCAAGAGCATGGGGTGTGCAGATGAAACAGGGAGAGTAATGTCTGACTAAAACAAACAGCTTACATATAGGAATAGTGGAAGACATGGCTAGAAAAACAGTTGGGTCAGAATAGAAAGCTCGGGGCGGGGGGAAAGGTTTGGTCTTTATCCTATGTGCCCATAGGGCAACAAAGAAGTCATCCATCCAGTCAATATCCACTGAGCAATTACTATATGCAAGCACTACATGAGCTTCTGGGTATATTGTGATGAGCAAAACAAACATAGCTCTAATCCTCATGGAACTCTCTAGCCTAGACAAACATTAAAAATAATATTGAAACTTCTGAGCGGAAAAGGAATGGATAGTCAAAAGACTTGAGTTTGCAGCCCAGCTCAATCACTTACAAGCAGTCATTTAACCTGTGAGTAGGTAGAAAAGAGACCTACCCTACATATTTCACAAAGCTGCACCGAGGGCAAAACTGCATAATATATGCACTATATATGAAACAGTTTTCTCAAACTGTTTGTAAAATTCTATATGTATGTAAAGAATTATGCAGAACATAACGATAAAACAGTATTTTAGAACAAATATTCTGATAGAGGTATACAAAATAAAATGAAGAAAGAGGATGGACACAGGGAATTAAAAACCCCACCAACTCTAGAAAGTTACTTTATAGTATTAGGCAACATAAAAACAATCCATCTGTAGCATACCTGATATGGCAATCTTTCCTTTACATGCTGTTCGTTCTTTACTTTCAAAATTCACATCACTGTCAAAAGGAAAAAGTTTAATGAAAAAAAAAAAAGATCTTTTCTAATAAGCAATTGTTTTAAATCTTTCACAAATGTCTAAATATTAAAAGCAAACACAAATCCATGAATAATAACGACCTCCACTTAATATAAACAACTTGACTTAAACTTTAGGATGTTTAGTCAACAGCTAGCTGCTTTAAGAAAAATATATAGAGCTATTCTCTTTGATTTTTCATATAAGCTTTACATTCCCTGATGCTTACATATTAGCTTACTCTACAATGAAAGCCTTTTGTGATTACTTACATTTATAAATAAGATGTACAATATTTGTCCAGGTCCCAGGAAGTGTAATATCTTGGATAATCATTTCATAAAATATATTTCTAGCTTACCATATTATAGTTGAAAAGTTAATGACCATCCCAATCATGAACTTGCTGCCCAGGAGTACCTTATCCTTATAAAATATAACAAATATCGAAAAAATTACTCTGTTCTATACTTACATGCAGTAATATATTTCATTTTCTTGAAAGTGCAAAAGAACTAAGCATATACTAAAACAATAAATTAAGGTGGAAAGAATAAGAGGTGGAAAAGAAAATATTACCTTGACAATAGAAAAAAGTCTCAAAGGATATTCTTGGGATGTAAAGCACTTTCAGATTGACTTTAGATATACCATTACTATAAAAAAAATAAAAATAAAACCCTTTCAAAATAGTTATCTCCTACTAGACCAAATCAATCTCATCCTTGACTATTTCTCCAATATACTATTTCCTAATATCCTGCATTTAAAGATTAGCATTCCATTTCTACAACAATATTTCCAAGAGTATTCTTTGCACTTCTTTTTGGTCTTTATTTAAATTGGTTAGCTAATTAACTGCTGGCTAATTTAATTAGGTACTTCAAATACATAAGATAGAAATTTTTTTATTTGAATACTGTTTGATTTTCTAAGAGGGCTTTTAGAGAAAGATTGGGTGGGAGTTGAAGTGTATTTAATTTTCAGAAGACTATGACACCATCTTATTGCATTTTAGTAGGCTTGTTAAAAAGATTGCATATATTCAATATCATGTGTCCAAATTTGAAAATGAAATATTAGCTTATTTTTTTTAACTCTCTTATTGGATTAAGCATATAAGTATTACAGGTGAAATAATTCCAAATGAGCTAAAATAATTTACTAAAATACTTAAGTTGATAAGCTTTTATGGGACATTTATATGGTATTTACAGACTCACATACTAAGTATAACTACAGTAATGTAGCTGACTTAAAGACATAAATTCTCAGAATCCTATCTAATTACTTCATGGCCACACTGGTATTTAAGTTAAAATAGGGAATTAACTCAGTGAAAATTAAAAGTACTCACTGATTATTTCACAATAATGATTTGTTGAATCACATTTTATACTTCAGTTTAGTCTGTCATGTTGGAGAATATTAGCTTGCTTACTGGTTCATTATAGAGTGAAAAATTCAATTGAACAGTCACTACATTTTGGTGAAAATAATATACTGACAGGCCCACTAGAAATCAAACACAAATCTTCTCAAATTGGAACAAAAAATACAATATAAACACAGTTGGTTGGCATTTGTAAGTCATATTTCTGAAAACACCTTCTATATGAGCAATGGATGATATAAATGTTTAAAATACTTATTTCAGTGAAAAAATACAAGGAAGCTCTTATATTGTAAGTAACTTGAGTATTATGGAATTGGTCATAGATTATGCTAAAGTTGAGATCCATTAGCTATTATTAAATTGGATTAAACTTGAGGCTTTGGCAGGCAAATGATATTCTAAAACACTAGAAACACCAAAAGCAAACTTGCTGAATATTTACCAAAAAGAAAAAAATTTTCCCCTCTAACTATTCAACCAACTGGCAGAGTATAGCTTTCTTCTCTGTAATTATAAATTATTTGCATAGACATTTCCAGGACAGGTTGACAAACTTATTATACACAAATATTATCAAACGATAATATAAATCCAGTTAATGATATAATCTTACAGAATAATTAAGTCTGTCTTTAAAAAAATGAGAGACAAACTAATTTATTTTCATTTTTCTGATGCTTAAATTATTTTCAATTCAAATGACTCCTCAAACTGTTATTTAGGGTGCTAAAATGTGATGTTTTCTAATTAATCCAAATTGACAATAAAATTGTCAAACATTATCTGTTTAATAATGTGCTACTGTAGCTAATAGTTTGCTACAGTTAAATAAATACTTGTTTTGAAAATTTGCAATGTTAATGCCAATTCTAAATGCTACAATTAGAGAGCCAGCCTGAGGAAAAAGCAAATAACCACAAAATTATCCAAACAGAAGCACAGCTAAATAATAATGTACCTTATTTTTATGAACCTAGTTTAGAGTATTACTTTAGTGAGACTTGTAAATGCTAATTTAAAAGATAAAAATATAACAGACAAACTTTTAACGATGACCAACAGAGGGTGCTAATCAGCTACCTTGTAGCTCAAAAATCTGTATTAAAATTGACTGAGTAAATACAGATCACTCTATTTTATACTGGTCTATGTGGGAGTGTAAAATAGCATTTCTTTGCCCAAATGAACAAGCTATGATGAAAAATAGCACAATGATTATTTTATATTTTCTTAATGAAGTACTAAAATAATCCTAAATGGGATTCTATTATTTGAAAGCAGGTTATAAAATCCTTCACCTCTAATGCAAATCAGTGAAAACTATAACACTCAGAAATGCTTAACATGGAATTTAAACCATTCTAAAACTATATGGTATAGTCATAAATATCTTAAATTGAGAAGATGAGCTTTCTATTTCAAACCTTGACATAAATGGTTCTCAACAGACACTGATATAAAGTTTAAAAAATAAAATCAGTAATGTCTATCTTTACTATATAACAAGCTTTCTTGTAGAAATACCAGTGGTATACAATTCACTTGCAACCCACACTTAAATCTTTTTTCTTTTTTTTTTTTTAAGTTATAGTATATAAGCAATAAACTAGATAACTGGAGTATAAGAAACTAGTTATTGCGGCATTATTAAAATCACAATTATGTTAAATGATATACATAATTAGGTCCCATAAGTGACTTTGACTAGTATTATTTTTACAAAGCCAAATAAAGTATTCCAGAAGTTAAAACAAAAGATAGATCGGCAGGTTGGCACAAGGGGAGAATATCACTGCTAAACTGTAAGCTCTGTAAGCATAGGGCTTTGTCTGTTTTGTTCAGTGCTGAATCACCAGTGCCTGCAATATAGCTCAGTATATTCTAAGGCACTCAATAAACGTTTAGTAATATTGAATGAAGTGAAATAGGATATGTCGTTTTGCTGGAGCAGGGAGATTTAGCAGATTTAGACTAAGTCTTAGGGTTGAATCTTACTCATCAATAACTAGTTATGTTAATCAGTTATGTTATGCTGTTATCCTCTAAGCCTCAGCATCCTCATCTGTAAAATCAGGGAACTATCTACTGACCTCATAGATACTGAATAAAGTAATATTTTATATGCATTCTATGTCATTCTTAAAAATGTTACACAAATACAAGCATTACTTTGTATTTATATTTTTGGCCTCAGTATTTAACTTGGAGCTTATGTGAAAGAGGTACTAAAAATTTTGTTAAAGTGATCTAAGTGTGACTTCCCAGTACCCATAAGATAATGGTTGCCACCTAAATCAGAATTTCTTCAGGTATCCTACAAAAGCTTTCAGATCAACAGGGAGAGTAAATAAAATTACCTATAGCCTACAGCTATAGCTTAACTAGACAACAGAGACTACTATATACTTTAATTTACATATAAGTGGGAAAATTAATCACTGAAACCATCAAAGCCAGCTCCTAGAGGCCTTACCCAAGTAAAGAGTCAGGTACAATTACAAAACACAATATCAACTGTGATCTCCTTTAGAAGAAAAGAGAATGGATAGAAGATCTGGCGGATATAATAGCACTGGTTCCTGGGGAGTTGAAAGGAAGGGGCACCAAAAGAATTCTGGTTCAGAAGTTGTTAGTCTTGTAGTACAGAGACACACAATGGGGAAGGTATCCTTTGAAGGTTTGGCCATGAAAAAAAAAAAAAAGAAAAGAAAAGAAATTGAACTTAAAAATCCCAAGAAACAAAATGGTATCAAAGAATCAGAAAACCAATCAACTAACCAACTGACATCCCCAAAAGCACCATTTATTTAAAAAGTTGCTCTTCATAGTTCCAATAACAGAAAACACTCTTGAACTAAGAAACCAAGTAAGCCCTTCTACTCTGCCACCCTCCCCACATCAGCTGGCCCAGGAAAATCCAACATTCTATATATTTCACTGGGGACAAAAAAATGACCCAAATATCCATACAAAGCTACTACAAAATGAAGGAGAATCAAAATGTTTCAGCTGAAAAAAATATTCCAACCACTATTCAAAAAAATAAAGTAACAAAAACTGTAACACAATACTCCAAAATGAATTAAGTGCAGTCAAACAAGCTATTGCAAATATGAAAGAAACCTGGAATCTCAAATCTAAAGGTCAAGCAACAGATAAATATATGAAAAAATTGAAAGACCAAGGAAAGAAGTTAGAAAATAAAATCAATTCTGAAATGAAAATACAAAATGACCAAGGACAAAGAGATAAAACTGAAAGTACATTAAAGAACATAGTAGATGAGAATGAAAAAAAAATAATGAAATAAAAAGTTTAAACACATTAAAGAGAAAGTGAAAGCCATATCAGACAAGTAAAAAAGATCCAACTTTGGTGCAATTGGAGTCCTTAAATCGGAAAAAACAAAATAATGAGACAAAATTAATGCTTTATTTTGGAGACTTTAACTCCAGGAAATTTTTCTGAAAATAAAAGAACTGAACCTACCTTTGGAAGAGTCCTAAGTGAGTCAAAATGCTCAGCCATTAGACATATCCTAGTAAAATTATCAGGCTTTAAAATAAAGAAATCTTTTTTCCGCCTCTACACAAAAAATATCAGTCATTTACGAAGGAAAAATAATTACATTTATTGATAACCAGATAACAGAGCAACATTTTCAAGAACTCAAGAAAAGAATGTATTTGCCAAGGATTTTGCATCCAGCAACACTGCCCTTTAAGAACTAAAGAAAAGTACTTTAAACATGCAAGAATGTGATGAAAACTATTCATGAGTACTAGCTCATGAGCGTCCTCCAGAAAGTGATGATTTTGGAAAATACAACAAAAGACAGATGGCGAACATTATACATATTTAATTGTAGTTCAGAGACTAAAACAAAGGTGGAAATACAAGTACATGATTAGTATGTAAATAATATACACTCCACCAAAGGAGTAATAAGAAATGATGATTTTTTAATAGAATCATGAAGGAAACTAATGATGCAGAACAAAAGAGGTCTTGGTAAGTTGAAATGAAAGAAAGGGCATGTCAGAATAAGCAAAGGCACTGGAGACAAGAAAATTCAAGAAATGTTTTGGAGATACAGATCTAGCATTTGGCTGAATTTGTAAAGTAAAAATTTGAGAAATGAGACTATAAAAGTAGTTTGAAATCAGACCACAAAGATCTTGGAATACAATGCCTATCTAAGGAATGTTAGTAAATAGAAACCATTAGCTGTTTCTTAAGAAGTGGACTGATGATATAAACGGTCTTTTAAATAGACATATTTGGCTATAAAAGCAGGAAAAAGGTAGGGAGATAGTCTCGTTTACCAGTCAAATTGACAGAGTGCTGTAACTAAGCAATCCCATCATCTAAACTGAGGCAGTAAGCTGTCTGTTTCACCCCTCATCCTAACTATCTCCTGTTTACTAAACCTAGAAAGCTTTCTATATTTCACTTTTTCAGCTCACCATGACTATATTGTGAATTGTACACAAACCTGGGTATCTTTTGCATAATTAGACATAAAAAATTGTATACCAGAAGGTATTTCATAACTGCACACAATTAAGAATAACAAAGCTTTTGCTATATATTTAGAACATTATGGTAATGGAACATTTAACCAGTTATCAATATTCTCAGATATGTGGTTAAAAAAAAAAAAGAACAAATGATATGACTATATCACTGATTTCTCAATGGGGGTTTCTCATCTAAACCACAGAATGACTATTTTCTTAATTTTCCCAAGAATGGTACAAAACTAGCACTATTCTAGATACACAGAAGTTAAGTCACTGTATACAACGCATGTCTCAGGGCATTAGGGTTTAACTCTTTCCTGGAACCGTTTTAAAAAGGCTGTAAAGTGAAATAAGATTATTTGCTTAGTTTAATAAATTCATAATTAATTGAGAAATAACTGAAATTGTTTTCAGAATGGTTGTTTTTATATAAAGAGCACCTTGAATGAAGATCTACTAAACTCAAAACTCATGCACTAGTTTGATATCCTCAATTCTCTCAAGTTACTTTATCGCTTCTATGTCTGCCTATTCTTAAATATTTTCCCTAAAAATTGATTATTTCAATGATTTTGTCTCATCATCCTTTTCATTATTCCACTACCAGATAATCTTACCAAACACCCATTTTATCATATCTTTTTGCTGAAAATAAAATGATAAAGGATAAACAATGAAATAGTAAGTGTAATGCCCTATAACTCACCAGGGCACCTTAGGGTAGTACAAAATACAAGGGCTTCTTTTTTGTGGGTGAGGGGTACTCAGGCTTTTAAGTCTTCTGGTTTCACATCCTAGCCCTACAGCCTCTGTGTGCCCTTTGAAACAATAATCTACTAAAATCTGGGGAGAAGAAACATATATCCTCATGAGTAAAATAACCCCAAACCATGCCACAATTATAAATTTCTCATGCTTTAACTTAAAAACTCATGTTATATAAGAAGACAAGCCACATTTATTCTATGGCTTTGCATATCTCCTGACACATAACCCTGTACTCTAAGTGATACATGTGACCTAGTTTGAGAAGCATTGACTTAAACCAACGTAAGTCCATCTGAAAAAGATTTTCCTAGGTTATAGTACTGAAATAATTTCACTTTATAATGCCAGGGATAGACAATAATAAAAATTATTATTAGACAATTATATAAAAGGTATTACAATAAGTTTTTTAGGTATAATCTTAATTTCAAAACGTAAATATTATCATGCCAACTTTAATGAAGGAAATGAGACCCAAAGAGATTAAACAGCCATCCCAAAGAAACAGTTAACAAATATTAGCTACTTTGTACACTAGGCTTTATTATATCACAATCTCATAAATATTTTATTTATACAGAAATATTTCTCTGACCTGTGTTTTTACCTTACTTTTCAAGAATTTAATGGCACTGTAAATAGCCCAAAGGCCACTATCATCTAAAAAGAAACTTTTTACTAGTGCTAGAGCTTTAAGACGGATCAACAATGGGTGATATAAGACTATTTATATTAAAAAAGAAACTAACATCTAGCCACTAAATTGAGTCAATTCTTAAGTCCAAATAAGACTCAGCACTGTAAATAGGGTAGGATGTAAATTTCACACAGAAATCCTAGACCTGATCCAAAGGGGCAGCATAGAGCAACAGAGAGAACAAGAAACAGAAGTTACTTAGCAAATCCTAAGTAACTTCACTTTTTTAACTCACCCTGACTACATTGTGAATTGTACACAAACCTGGGTATATTTTTGCATATGCAGGCATAAAAAAAGATAGTACACCAGCTTAGGTTACTAGCTAGCTAGCATCTGTCATTAGCTAGTTATGTGTCCTTGAGTAAGTCACTTGCCTAAGACTTATATTTACCATATGAAGATGTGCTAGCTGATTTTTAAGGATTTTTAAGTTCCCTTTCATTCAGAAGATTTTCTACCTTTTTTAATTTTGTTGTTCACTCATTTCAATTCATATACCTGTTTCCATTACTCTCAGCTAGTACCTTCTTTATTAGCATACTTTTAAACAACTAGCTTTTTCTTTAATTTAGATTTCTTTATACTCAACTCTCAATCTTGGTCCTTCTTAAAATATTCTGTCAGTTCTTGCTTTTTAACCACTTAATTTATAATCTGAAAGTACTAAACACAATAAAACTGCCCAGTGAAAACTGCTACCTTTAATAGTAAAGTTTACTCTGAGCTCTACTCTCAAAATGTTTGTTATCAGAGGCTACTACAGTATATTTTTAAAAGCTTTGGTGATTTGACATTTGACCTTAAGGTTAAATTATATTATATTTTTAATTCAAATATTTAAGTCCATTAAAGCCATAAGTAAACTATGCCACTGACCATCTTCCAGGTTGATTTGCAATCTGCTCTTCTAATTTCTGTAGCTCTGATGTGTAAGCCATTATTCGAGCATTGCACACCATGAGATTCTTTACTGCATGTAAAATCTGGTCCTTCTGAGTGCTCAGAGAAAGGAGTTTCCATATTCCTTGTCGCATTCGAATTTCTAAATCTATTTTTTCTCGAATGCTGCAGTCCTTAAAAAAGAAAGAAAAGCATTTTTAAAAGATAGCAAAAATCCAAAATTGTAACATTTCTTACTAGATATCATTATAATTTTGTACCATATTGAGAAAATAAAAAAGTTTTAATGTATAATAGTATAAAAATATAGCTACTTTTAAAAAGCTCTTTGCAAAACCTTAATTTCTTGCTTTATTAAGAAATCTTTATCATCTCTTGGATAAACGGAACAGAAACAAAGATGAGAAACATTACATATTCTTACCATAACTGTACAAGGTTGAATAGCGTCTCCCAAATATTCCTGTCCTCCCAGAACCTCAGAATATGACCTTATTTGGCTACAGGGTTTTGCAGATGTAATTAGTTAAGATGAGATCGTATTGAATTAGTGTGGGCCCTAAACCCAGTGACTGGTGCTCTTAGAGAAGTGCCAAGTGAAGACACAGAGAGACACAGAGAGAACTCCATGTGACAATGAAGGCAGAGAGTGAAGTCATGAGACTATAAGCCAAGGAACACCAAGGTTTCCCAGCATCCACCAGAAGCTGGAAAAGGCAAAGAAGGAGTTTTCCCTAGGGCCTTCAGTAGGAGTATGGCCCTGTGGATACCTTGATTTCAGACATCTGGCCTCCAGAACTATGAGAGAATAAATTTCTGTTATGTTAAACTACCCAGTTCTGGTAATTTGCTATGATAGCCTCAGGAAACCAATACAGTAACCAATAATAACTAATGTGAACAATATAGTACATATACATCTTATCTAAGTTGTATTGTGGGATGGCAAGATGTAGTTGATGACACTTAATTGACCAAGGAAAAACTTTCTCAAATAGCAGATGCTGAATAAAGAAACTAAAGTTTAGCATCAGAGAGGTAACAAGCTACTTGTCATAGTAAGCAATGTAAATAAAATATCGGAAGCAACAGAGTAAAAGCACTGTGTTTAGAAAATGTCAGAAGTTTTAGCTACCTGGAACAGAGATATAGAATATAGTTTGGGATATATTTTAGTTTTAAGAGTCACCATGAAACTATTAAATCATTTTAGTTCTAAAAGTCTTTTATTCCATACAATGATTTTATTTGTAGTGGCCTGACTCTATATACTAGTTTCAGATGTAACATTAAAATTCTGTAAACTGAAATGTATTGTTTTGATTTAATTTACAGTGGCTTTTTAAAAATTATAAATCAGATACTTTATTATACCACAAACAAGTCTAATGCTCTGGTCTGTCCATTTTTTAAATGAAGTGACCATTCTGGCTTCTGTGGTAAAAAAAAAAAAAAAAAATCAACATTATAATCTACCTTTTAATTAGATCAAAACCTATGTTAAAAAATGTGAACAGAATCTAATAGCAAAAGTTCCAGATAGTAAAAAGACAATCTTTTCAAAAAGAAAAGCTGAAAGTTAAAAGAGCAATGGTCTGTGAAGGTTACCCAAAAAGATGATTTAACTTGACTATCCAAATCAATTGAATATACTAGTCACATGCAGAAAACAGATCTGTTTAGTTACCTTCTGAATTACGTCATGTAATCACCACACAAAAATCTTCTCTTGTATCATAATTCAAAACCAGTATATTATATAAATGTGCTCATTTGCTTGTTTTCCTTCTTTATACATGACTGAACTTCAACAACTCTATTTCATCTTTTCATGACTTGTCAGCCCCAAAGTAAATTCTTCTTTAATGTTAATAATTAATTAAAAGGATTATCTACGTGACCCATATGTCTATAGAAATAAACTCTGGCAGGCTGGTTAGTATTGGAGAGTGCATATAGAGAGCAACTGGAAGCTGGGATGAATAGCTTTACCCCACAACTCAAATATAAACAAATACCATCTGCTGTCATTAAATTCAATTTTGCTTTTTAAACACTACAGTGAGGCAGCCAGTTGAACTAGCACAGTAGGCTGCACATTAGGATTACCTCAGGCAGAGAGGAAGGGCCTTATAAAAGTATCTAAGCTTATGACCTACCCCAAAACAATTAGGATCTCTGGAGGTGGAGCCTGAGCATTTCTCAAGTTCCTCTGGTGGTTTAATATACAGCCAGAGTAGAGAATGACTGCTGTACTTGAAATTCCACAGCACTCTGGAAAGTTGCAACAACTTTAAAGAACCAGTAGATGGCCACAGCCACATTAAAGAATGAGTTTGGGCTTCCAGGGTTTCCATCTTGTAAATGAAAACTGTCTTCTCTTCATCATTTATTGATAAAAGACTTTATAAATTTATAGAGGTTTGGGAAATAGTGGAGAAAAAAATGTAAAGTCGGGGTTTAAAAACACAAACCTATTTTTAAGATTAAATATTCATTAAGGAAATGAGACATCTAGCAAATACTAACATTAGAATTTTATCCTTTAGAGCAGGGGTCAGCAAATCATACCTTGGGTGTTGCCTATTTTTTTTTTAGTAAAGTTGTACTGGAACACAGTCACACCCATTTGTATTGTCTGTGGCTTTCAAGCTACAATAGCAGAGTTGAGTAATTTCAAAGGACCATCTGGTCCTCAAAGCTAAAAATAGTCACTACCTGTCCTTTTACAGAAATAATTTGTTGATCCCTAACCCAGCCAGTTTAACACATAGTACTCTATGATTCTACCTCCCTTGTTCTATGGTGACTCGATGTGGACCTGGGAAGGCTCTTGTATTAACCAGTTTTTGTATTCTCCATGCAACTCCTTTCAGTACACATGTGTACTTTACATGCAGAGAAAAACCTCTCTGATTGAGCCATACTACTCTAGCCAAGAAAGACTTTATAGAGTCAAGACTTGTCATTAGTTAATAAGAGGTGAAACGTGTGCTTGCAGTAGGAGTTGATGTCTAGTGTTATTCACAATGAAAATAATGATCAAGTAATGAGGGCACCCACTGAGCATTCAATGGTGATGGTTACTGACCTCAAAGAGGAAGAATTAGGAGCTAAAACCTGCACTGCTGCTGCCTCAACCATAATGGCAGAGTCCCTACAGATTAGGACCCATCACAGAAGCATGTGTCCCTGTATCTATCCCTCTTAGCAGTGTTTGAATGCAAATCTCCAGGAAGAGAATGGGAGTTCTCTAGTTCTTCAATTTTCTGGATAAGGGCTTGCTGACAATCAAGTCAAACAGAAGCCTATGGCGCTGTCCTGATTTTCTAGGTATTTAAAGTCAGGCTAGGCTAAAAAGGGCTAAAGATGAAACAGGGAGATAACTTAAAAGTGAAAATCTGGATCATGGAGAAAACAGAAACATACTAGGATTTAGGAGCTAAAATGGCACAAAGGAAGTACAAAGAAAATGGCTTTAGTGTTGGAATTAAGCACTAACAACAACAACAACAACAAAAAATGGAGTTGGGCTGCTTGTAAGACAACTTTACTAATCCAGATAGAAACTATTATCCACCTAATGGACATAGTTAAACCATGTTAACTAAGAGACCAAAATAAAAAAGATTGTAGAAGAGTATATACAGCACACATTCCTCTAAAAGAATTATGTGTATTTTAAGAATTGTTTATGTACAGAATAAAATCTGGAAATTGTTAACAGTATTAATTCTTGGGAATGGAACTGGAGAAAAAATTCTTAATTCATGTTTCTCTATATGATCACTTTCCTGCAATGAGATTGTATTACTTCTCAAATTTTATTTTTATTGAGATTTCAAAAGCTTAAACATTTATAAGACAAGGTAGGTGGCTGTTCCAACTGCTCAAATAAGACAAAAGATAGTAACAAAAATAGTCATCTCTCAAGCACGTTCTGAGTGTGAGGGACTGTGCTTAGTACTTTAAAGAGGTTCTAAATTCAAACAACTGTCTGGAATAGGCATTTTACCCATTCTATAACTATGGAAACTGACATTTAGAAAAGACAGGTAACTTATTCAAGGTTGCACAACAAGCAGACTTGGATTTGACCTTAACCTGACTCCAAAGCCAATAAATATTCTATGCTGTGTATAGTCAGAGATCAAGGCAAGGATTGAGTAGAGGTGTTTCACTAGTATATGACCACCTCGAAATCTTTGGTCCTATCCCTATTAGATGGCAAATTCATTAAGGAAAGTACACTAAAGGGAAGTGTACATCAAGGGAAGTACACTAAATAAAAATTCAGTGTTAAGTCAAGTATAAAATTCCTGTTAGGTTGAAACCTATTATTATTTTGCAATTTTTCTCCAAGATATAAAGAGAAGAAATTCCACAACTCAATTATTTTAATTTCTTGCTGTCTAAGCAATCCTTAAGTAGTGTACCTTACCACATGTAAAAACCAGCTCTTACATATAAATATTTTTCATTGAATGTAGCTAAACTTCTTTCATGACCTTATCATCTTGTCTAGAATATTACTGCTCCACACAGCTCAAAAAATATACTTGAATGGCTACACCAACACCTATATAATAAGTGCAAGAACCTCAACAAATCGTCAATTCATTAGAACTCAAGATTTTATCAAGACAAAGTACATAAAAGAATAGAGCAGAAAAGCACTTTACATCAAAATGTTTGAAATATTTGAACATGCTGGCATACAACAGCATAAATTACTGACAAAGGTACCAGGCTTCTTTGCCTGATTGTTAATGTTTTGCTTTATTTTTCGCAGTACTATTGAAGAATTCCTAACAATTTTATATCTGCAGAGGTTTTTAAGGTTTGTAGAAAAGATAACAGGTTTCTAAGCAAAGACAGTAAGTTAGACTATACAAAAAAGCTAACATTCTACCAATTTCGTCCAACACAACTGGCAATTTCATAGGTTTAACCTACTTAAGAAGCAGGTAAAAGGAAATTAAAATGGATCTGAAGATCCAGCTTAAAGACATCAGAATTTTCTTTTAAGATACTAAAGTTATGGTTTAGAGTGGAAAGGATAACATTTTAATAACTGATTTTGCTAAGAAATAATGTTGGTCTATATTAAGTAGAAAGGTTCCTAACACATTTTATATGACTAAATAGAAAACAGCAAAAACTTCTATCCAACTAAAACAGAATCCACTATCAAACCAACTTTTTCTAAAGCTCAGAAGTTGCAGTTTGTTTCTCCACCCCGCCCCCACAAGTTCGTGTTGCGCGTAGACGTCGCAGTAATTGTGCTTTCCATCAAATCTAGTAAAATAAGCGAACTTGTCCTCTATTGGACTCGGGTGGGCTTCTCGAAAATCCTGGAGCTCCCACCTCCCTTGCGTTCCGACACCTGCAAAAATGATGAGTGCCCAAACCTTGGGGAAGGGGTGCAGGCAGCGGACAGGTGCGCCCGGAAACGCGCCGCGGGACTCGGACATCGCTTCCCCATTCCAAGCCTGTTTCCGCCCTAAGAAATCAGGGGTGGGGGTTGCGAAGATTTCCAAGCGCCATCGTACTATACCCTCAAAAGTGCAGACCCCTAGTCCTTTCCTTTGTTTCTGGCCACGGCTGAATACAAGAGGTGAAGAGGGGGCTTTCCTGACGACAAGACAAAACGGCGGCGTCCAGACTTGAAGCCCGGCCCTCTTCTCACTCACCTGCTGGGCGGGAAGCCCCGCCAGGCAGAGTTCGCGACCCCTCAGGGTCTGCACCTCCATCTTCAGCTCCGCAGCGGGGACCGCCACCACTCCACCGAAGATAAGATTTGAAAAGCCCGCCCCTGGCTGGAGCCGCGGAGGACGCCAACCGTCCGGCCGTACCAAGTCCGTCCGCAGGGGGAGGGGACAGGGGCTTCACCAGCGCGCACACGCGCAGTGGGCGCGCTCCGCGCCCCTCGCCTCCCGCGCCGGAAATTTGCCGAGACCCGGGTTCTGCGTGCGGGCAGGCATGTGCCTGCGGGCGGGCGGACTTAAAGCCCTGGT